ACAGCGAGACTCCGTCTCAAAAAAAGAAAACAAAAAAGATTAGCCAGGCGTGGTGGCGTGCACCTGTAATCCCAGCTACTCGGTAGACTGAGGCAGGAGAATCTCTTGAACCCCGGAGGTGAGGTTGCAGTGAGCCGAGATCGCACCACTGCACTCCAGCCTGGGCGACAAAGCAAGACTCCGTCTCAAAAAAAAAAAAAAGTATTCCCTGTGGTGCTTTGAGATCTTCTTTCCCCACATCCATCCCTCTCCCACACTCATTCAGTCTTGGTTAGAGATGATGGGGAGCCAGAATTTTAAAATTACCATTCGGGATAGGAGCAGGACTCATCATACCGCGGAAGTTAAACTTGGTGAGAACATGGAAAGTAGTTGCCTATTCGTCAGAGACATTTAAGGTTTGGGTTTGGTTAAATTACTATTTCGTCCAGAAAAAAAAGGAAGCACTAGTATAAAAATAACTGTTTTCCAAACTCGTGAAGGGGCTGTGAGAGCACGAACAGTACAAGAAACGTGTTTGGCCATGAAATAGAGTTTCCTACTTTTTCCTCCCCAAATTGGAACAGCCTGAGATCTGATGGAGATAATTTAGGAAATTATCAATAATGGAAATACTAGCATGGATTGTTGATCATGTGATGCTATGATTCTTTCCCAGGCACCACACCTGTTGGTGTTCAGATGGAGCAGCACACTAGTCATCCTAACAGAAAAGGTGTGTGTTGGAGGCCCTGCTTCCCCTCCCTTAAAAAGCCAGACCTCTTGGCCAGGTGGGGTGGTTCATGCCTGTAATCCCAGCACTTTGGGAGGCCTAGGCAGGCAGAGCAACTGAGGTCGGGAGTTCAAGACCAGTCTGACCAACATGGAGAAACTCCATCTCTATTAAAAATACAAAATTAGGCCGGGCGCGATGGCTCAAGCCTGTAATCCCAGCACTTTGGGAGGCCGAGGCGGGTGGATCACGAGGTCAAGAGATCGAGACCATCCTGGTCAACATGGTGAAACCCCGTCTCTTCTAAAAATACAAAAAATTAGCTGGGCATGGTGGCGTGTGCCTGTAATCCCAGCGACTCAGGAGGCTGGGGCAGGAGAATTGCCTGAACCCAGGAGGCGGAGGTTGCGGTGAGCCGAGATCGGGCCATTGTACTCCAGCCTGGGTAACAAGAGCGAAACTCCGTCTCAAAAAAAAAAAAAAAAATACAAAATTAGCCGGGCGTGGTGACGCATGCTTGCAATCTCAGCTACTTGGGAAGCTGAGGCAGGAGAATTGCTTGAACTTGGGAGGCAGAGGTTGTGGTGAGCCGAGATCATGCCATTGCACTCCAGCCTGGGCAACAAGAGCAAAACTCTGTCTCAACCAAACCAAATGAAACAAACAAACAAAAAAACATTATTCATGCAGCCATATATTGACTGTGGAATCTTGAGCAAATTTCCTGACTTAAGTTTCCTTAAGTAAAATGTAGGTGAAGCTACCTACTTTATCTACATTCCTCAGGTCATGTTCCCCAGTTCCACAGACTAGGTCATTTGCTCTCATAGCACTTACTGAAGTGCAATAGTGTATGTGGCTTGGTCACCTAAGAATGTCTAAACTGCAAGACTCTCAGTTCCAGGAGAGTAGTGACCCCATCTGTTTAGCAGACTGTGAGATAATATATGTAAAGCACCTCTTATTATCATTTCCTCTGTTCTGCCTCCTTTTGCCTCTCTCCACCCTCATCCTCTGTATACATTGTCTGTCAGAAATACAGCTCCTTTAGTATAGAGTGTGTGTAAAACATTCTCTTTTTTAAAATTGAAAACAATTTTTAATTTCTCGTGCCACCTTGTCTAAAGATGTGTAAAGCATTCTTTAAACCTTATAACCCAGTATAAAATGCATCCTCATATGTCCAGGAAGGGCTCAAATTATTTAAAAGTGCATTTGCATGGAAATGAACACATTTTGCATGGAAATTAACACATGATTGAGAAGAATCTTGAGACCTGAGTTTCAACTTCTATCTCTTTACCACATTCTGCACAAGCCGTCAAATGACTGATGACTCTTGAGCAGGAAGGAGAAGAAGATGGAGGACCTACAAGTAGAGCTTGGAAAATCCACAAACCCAGTAGCCCCATGCAAAAGAAAACAAACAAACAAACAAACAAAAAAAAAATATTTCCCTCACCAAGAGTAATAGAGAACAGATTTCAGTTTTCATAGGCTCGGTGACCTTCCAGACAGAAAGCATCTCACCCTGGCAGCCACATATGAGCACTTCTTCCTCTTGCCAGGCCACTCCTTCTGCTGCCCTCTGAGTGAAGAACAAAAATAAGATGTCTTCCTCCATACAACTTACTGTTCACACCTCTGCTCCCCAGGCTCGTTTTTTATGAAGAGGCCCCTTTTTATCCTTCAGATTCCAGCTGAGATATCACTTCCTCAGGACACGTTTCCCAGCTCCACAGACTAGATCAGCTTTCATAGCACATACTGAGGTGGAATAGCGTGTGTGATTGATTACCTAATGACTGTCTGTACAACAAGACTCACTTCTGTTTAGCAAACTGTGGTATCCCCAGTGACTGATACATAGCAGGCACTTAGCTATCTCTTACGTGTGTGAATGAAAATAAATTGTTTTCTCGTCCTTTCTTGATTTCGCTCTAACAGTGAATTATTGTCTCCCTACTGCCTTGCCTTTTTAATTCTTACCTAGTTCGAGCTGTCTGACTTTCCATCCATTGCTCTTCCGTCTACTTTGCCACTTCCTTTTCATCTTCTAGACTCCTGAGGAGGAGTTCCTCAAAGGTTCAGTTTTTCCCTCTGTTTTTTGCCTTGGAGAGCTAATGTATTTTTGCAGCTTCTTCGTCCCCTTTTTGAGGCTGACCTGGCAATTTGACCTTTCACTTGAGCTCGGGTGCCAGCTCTCTGGATGTTTCTCTAGGCACTTCTACTTGGATTTCCTACTCTCACCTCAGATTCAATACGTCCAAACGTGATTATGTTAATGTGAGAGTTGAGTTTTACTCAGACTTCTTCAAGTAAAAGCAATTTAGAGGCTTGTGCAATTGGGAGAGATGCTGAAGTAGCTCACAGAATAATGGGAAGAAGAGCTGCAAAAACCAGGGCCTCGGGGACTCAAACTGGGGATTCAGTGCCTGTTTGTGTCTGTATCCATCTGTCTTTCTCCTATGCTTTTTCTTTAATCTCTTGCTTTATCCACTTCTCATGGTATGTTAGCCAATTAGCTTTCATTGGTTCCACCCATATATCTTCTCAGAATGGGAAATCAGAAGAAAGTAAATTTATTAGATATGGAATCCATATATTGATCCCAAGGAATGACTTTGGCCCAAGTTAGCTCATGTGCATACCGCCCTGGCTTAGTCATAGTTGCCAAGGCGGATGGGAATACCATGATTGGCCTGTATTGGGTCACGGGCCAATCCTTGTTGGGGCGAGGGGCTTGATTGTGGTCTCAGCAGTATAGACTGACTTCTCAAGGGTTTTTTTTTGTTTGTTTTTGTTGTTGTTTTGAGATGGAGTTTCACTCTTACTGCCTAGGCTGGAGTGCAGTGACATTATATTGGCTCGCTGCAATATCTGCCTCCCGGGTTCAAGTAATTCCCCTGCCTCAGACTCCCAAGTACCTGGGATTACAGGTGCCCATCACCACACCTGGCTAATTTTGTATTTTTAGTAGAGGTGGAGTTTTACTGTGTTGGTCAGGCTAGTCTCGAACTCCTGACCTCAGGTGATCTGCCCACCTTAGTCTCCCAAAGTGCTGGGATTACAAACGTGAGCCACTGCGCCTAACCACTTCTCAAGTTTTTAAGGTTCAGGAAATATGCTCTACCTGCAGGGAGCCTTCTCTCACTACTTGTATTGATCTCTTCTCCCTTTTGTAAAACATTGATTTCTACTTTTTATTTATTTATTTATTTATTTGAGTTGGAGTTTCGCTCATTACCCAGGCTGGAGTGCAGTGGCGCGATCTTGGCTCACCACAACCCCTGCCTCCTGGGTTCAAGCAATTCTCCTGCCTGAGCCTCTTTAATAGTTGGGATTACAGGCATGTGCCACCACGCCTGGCTAATTTTGTTTTTGTTAGTAGTGACAGGGTTTCTCCATATTGGTCAGGCTGGTCTCGAACTCCTGATCTCAGGTGATCCATTTTTACATTTAATCACATGTATAACTAACAGATAAAAAGCTTTTATTTCCACCCCAGGCTATCAGACTCATTGTTTATGTCCTTGTAAGATCGTTGTTTCTCCTGTGTCAGATTTGTCTCCCAAACTAGATAATAAGCACCTAAGAAACCACGTCTTACACATCTCATGTATACCCTAGGATTTAGTAGCTGCAAGCGTGTAGTCCTTATCAGTAAGAACTTGTAAACAGCCGGACTCGGTGGCTCACACCTGTAATCCCAGCCCCGCTTTGGGAGGCTGAGGTCAGCTGATCACCGTAGGTTGGGAGTTCAAGACCAGCCTGACCAGCATGGAGAAACCCTGTCTCTACTAAAAAGACAAAATGAGCCAGGTGTGACGGCGGGTGCCTGTAATCCCAGCTACTCGGGAGGCTGAGGCAGGAGAATCGCTTGAACC